CAACATCAAAACAATTTTTCTTAAAAAATCACTCACATCATCCTATAATAAGGTGACAACTAACATCATCTCATCTTCATTTCTTTGATTTCCTTCATTTTTTAGCCAACCAAACATTCCCAAAATAATTTTTCTTAGAAATAGTTTTCCATTTCTTTGATTTCCCTTTTTTAGGCAAACAAACAGCCCCTTATAGTAAAACACAATACTAAAACATATTGGTTGCCAAACATACCTGTTTTTAGCTCCATGATCGAAAAAATAATATTAAAATGTAAAGAATATATATGGCTTAGAGCATCTCCAAGGGTTCCCTTGGATGTCCCTTAATTTAGGGGAAACTATTGGGGAAGGGATTGGTTCTTCTCCAATGGTTCCCCTTAAAATCCCTCTACCCCTTAATTAATTATATTTAGTTTTTTTAATTTTATGAATTAAGATTTAATTAAATATGTGGTTTATTTATAAATGAATAAACAATTAAATATTAATAACTAAAAATAAATAAATAATCTAAATTAAGAAATTACTTTATATTATCATTAAATTAATTAATTAAATTAAAATTTAACAAATAATTAATTTAGATAATAATTAATTTATATAAATCGTGTTAAAAATTAAATATTATTTTAAATTTAAATTCATATTATTTTAATATTAATTTTATTTTATAATAATATCTCAACGGTCATATTTCAACGGTCATATTCTAACGGTCATATTTTAACGGTCGTATTTCAACGGTCGTTTTTTAATTAAATGTGGTCACTCCTTCTATAAATAGCACTACCAGTGTCCTTCGTTTTTACTAAATTCAAATTCATTCAATTTTTTTAACCCAATCTTCAATATTATTTATGGCTAGTAATTTGTTACGTGCCTTGCTACAAGAGGAAGAGGAAGACGATGATGATTATGCGACCTTATTAGCAATCGCATCTTTGGAAGAACACCACTCCAGCGAAGGTCAAAGTTATCGTCGTCGTGGTTCCATTCCAAGGCACGCTGTAATTCAACGCTATAGAGCTGAAGGTCATGAGAGGCTTTTTCATGATTATTTCAGTGAATCTCCTGTGTATCCAGCAAAACTATTTCGAAGGAGGTTTCGTATGCATCGCCCACTATTTTTGCGTATTTTATCTGCAGTGGAAACACATGATTCCTACTTTGTCCAGAAACGGGATGCTGCTGGGAAAATTGGTTTATCCTCGCTACAGAAAGTAACTGCTTCTATGAGGATGCTTGCTTATGGAGTATCAGCAGATTCTGTGGATGATTACGTGCGGATTGGAGAAAGCACCGCTATAGAGAGTCTCGGCAGGTTTACCAAAGCAATTGTTGCAATTTTCGGTGATGAGTATCTAAGGTCACCAACTGACGAGGACACTGCAAGATTGCTTGCAATTGGCAAACAACGGGGATTTCCTAGGATGTTAGGAAGCATTGACTGCATGCATTGGAGATGGAAGAATTGTCCGGCTGCGTATCATGGTATGTATACCGGTCACAACCACACTCCTACAATAATTTTAGAAGCTGTTGCTTCCTATGATCTTTGGATTTGGCATGCTTATTTTGGTTTACCGGGAGCTCTTAATGATATTAATGTGTTAGAACGGTCTTCCGTTTTTTCTCAACTTGCTGAAGGACATGGTCCGACTATTAATTATACAGTCAATGGTCATGAACACACGATGGGATACTACCTTGCTGATGGTATATATCCGTCATGGGCAACATTTGTTAAAACAATTTCTGTACCACAAGGAAATAAAAGAAAACATTTTGCTACACTTCATGAGTCGGCAAGAAAGGATGTAGAGCGAGCATTCGGGGTACTCCAATCACGCTTTGCAATTGTGCGTGGACCAGCTCGCTCTTGGGATGAGAAAATATTAAAAATATTATGCAAGCATGCATAATAATGCATAACATGATTGTTGAAGATGAAAGAAATGATGATTATATCGACTTCACGTACAATGCTGCTGAGGAAGCCCCAACTATATCAGTGTCTCACGAATGTACAATAGATTTGTGTGAATTTATTCAGAATCATCATCGCATTAGAGACAGGCAAACTCATTCTTAATTGCAATTGGATCTTGTCGAACATTTATGGGAACGAAATGGTGGGCTTTAGTAAGGGATTTGTATGCTGATGTAATATTAATGTCATTTAATTTAGTGTTGCAAGTAAGGACCTGTTAGTTTATATAATATTGATGTTATTGAATTTCTATATTAATATGTGACCATATTTGATTTTTGAGAAAAGTTTCCATTTGCATAAATAGAACTTCATAAAATCTTCAAATACGATACATCATCTTCAAGTACGATACAACAAGAGTAAATTGAAATACATAAGAACACACTAAATACGATACATCATCTTCAAGTACGATACACCATCTTCCTTCTAATTTGAACTACTACCACCAAATTGCCTTTCAAGAATTTCCATCTTCAACTTATTGTAATACTCTACTTGCAATGGAGGCATGCCATCAGTGTTAATTGCCATAATCCTCTCATCTTGTTTCATAGCTTTCAATCATATTTTTTCCTTTTTGATATTTTGAGCTTCTTGAGCGACCTGTAGTCTGGCTTGCTCTATCTTTATGCGCTCTTGCTCCTGAACATAAATTTGACCAAATAATTTTTCTTTCCGATCCTGCTTCATTTCATCAATAAATAACATCACTGGTGTAATTTCAGAATCCACATGCTTGTCTTTACCTTGTTTCAACCTTTCTTTTGCAGCCTTTCTTCCTATGGGCCTTGACGAACCCTTAATAGGACATAATCCTCTCATCTTGTTTCATAGCTTTCAATCATATTTTTTTCCTTTTTGATATTTTGAGCTTCTTGAGCGACCTGTAGTCTGGCTTGCTCTATCTTTATGCGCTCTTGCTCCTAAACATAAATTTGACCAAATAATTCTGCTCTCTTTATTTTTTTTCCTTTCCGATCCTGCTTCATTTCATCAATAAATAACATCACTGGTGTAATTTCAGAATCCACATGCTTGTCTTTACCTTGTTTCAACCTTTCTTTTGCAGCCTTTCTTCCTATGGGCCTTGACGAACCCTCAGTAGGACATTCGTCTTCCCTACAATTTATTGAATCTGGAGTTGCAGGAGAAGATGTAGCAGGACTTGAATTTTTTGACCTCTTAGATTTTTTCATTGAAAATTGGCCAAGCCACTTTGGATGGAACCTTAACTCATTCCAACAATGTAAAAATTGAAAACTTGCTCCTTGCATGCTTTGAAACATTTGCATCGCTTCCATAATCTAATTAAAAAATAAAATAAATTTACTAACATGTAAAAAGTAAAACAATTAATAAATTATATAAATCTAATCAGTTTAAATAATTTGAAGCCACAATTAGTACCTTGTCATTCTCTGTCACGCCACTTTGATTTCTTGCTTCAATTTGATTAAAACACCCACAAAATTTACTAACTGCAATTTAAATAGCGGACCAACGGTGCTCTAACCCTTTTTGATCACGATCGCTACTGAATGTTTTGTTTTCATGATAGTAAGTTGCTACTCGGTGCCAAAATGTGGAATATTTTTGCAATGTCCCTTGCACTGGATCAATGCTAGTGTTGATCCATGCAGATACAAGCAAGGTGTCTTCTTCGATCCGATATTTTGATTTTCGCATCAACTTCTTTTGCAATGGTACATCTTTTACTGTATTTTCTTCGGGTATGTCCGGCTGAAACGATTACTCTTCATATTGATCTTCCCATGGATAATGACTAGTCATCAAATTGACATAATATGGATTATTATTTTCTGCCATCTACATCAGTATAAATCTCACATGAGTATGATTTAATTAAAATTCTCAAACTGTTAAAAATATAAGAAACATGAAGTGCAGTTATAATTAAACAAAAAATATAACCTACCTTAAATTGTAGTATATATGATGAAATAGAGGTAGAAACAATGAAAGAGTGAAGTGTGAAAGTGAACATCAGGGTAGTGCCTTATTTATAGGGTAAAAATTAATTAGATAGTTTTAAAAAAATTAGCTATTCTAGCTAAAAAACAAAAAAAAAGCCTATACTAGAAAAATAGCCTACACTAGGAAAAAAGCCTATACTAGAAAAACACCCTATACTGCAAAGACAAAACCTATAATTAAAAAAGCCTATACTAGAAAAACAACCTACACTAGAAAAAAAGCCTATACTAGAAACACACCCTATACCACAAAGACAACCTATAATTAAAAAAAATCCTATACTAGAAAAACAGCCTACATTAGAAAAAAAATCTATACTAGAAAAACACTTTATACTAGAAAAAACAACCTATAATTAATAAAAAATTATAATAAAAAATTACAATAAAAAATTATAAGAGGTACATTTTAAAAAATATTAATCAAATTAAATTAACTATACATTAATTTAATTATATTATTTTAAATTAACTATACATTAACTAAATTTAATAACACATAAATTAATACTAAAAGAAAATATATTATTATAAAATTATAAGGGGAAGGTTAAGAGACTTTAACCTTCCCCTTAATTTAGGGAGAAAGTTTAGGGACTTGGGGTGAAGGGAGATGTTTTCCGGTCCATTGGAGTGCAAATCCCTTAAAACTCCCTTAATTTAACTAAAGGGCCGGATTTTTCCGACCCCTTGGTGATGCTCTAAGAGACTTTAATCTTCCCCTTAATTTAGGGAGAAAGTTTAGGGACTGGGATGAAGGGTGATGTTTTCCGATCCATTGGAGTGCAAATCCCTTAAAACTCCTTTAATTTAGCTTTAATTTAGCTAAGGGGCCGGATTTTTCCGGCCCTTAGAGATGCTCTTATATAAACTATAAAAAGGTGGGGTGGGGTGGGGATGCTCTAAGGGACTTTAATCTTCCCCTTAATTTAGAGAGAAAATATAGGGACTGTGGTGAAGGAAGATGTTTTCCGGTCCATTGGAGTGCAAATCCCTTAAAACCAACAAAAATATTTTTTTATTACTAAACACCATCATCGAAGAACCCTCAAAAAAAGGAATAGCAAATAACCCTAACTCAGGTGCCATTGTACAGAGAGGAATCGATCCCGAGAAAAAATGGTGGTAAACTCACCGGTGGTGAACATATACCCTCTCTCGAGCTACACCTTCGGAACGAAGGAGCCCAAGATGGAGAAGGACACCTCCGTGGCCGATCGCCTCGCTCGTATGAAAGTCAAGTAAGCCCCTTTCTCTTCCTCTTCTTTCCCTGAAACCCTAGATCCAATCGAATTTCAAAACCCTAGATCATAAATTTATCATCTTTTTTGATGATTTTTTTTAATGATAATCGCATTGTGATTTTAAGTTTTGATTTGGACGCCCAGCTACATGAAAGAAGGCATGCGGACGAGCGTTGAAGCGATTCTACTGGTAATTTCCCCCTTATTGTTTAAGCGGAATTTTAAAATTGTGAAGGGCTTCGAATTTGGTAACAATATAATATATGTACTTTGGAGGTTGTGGCAATCTTGGTTGTCTCTATGAAAGCCATTAATGTCTTTTGTTAGCGCTGTGTTTGCCAAAAAGTTAAGTTTTTTTTGTGAGGGAAGAACCCAGTTGTCTCGGTTCAGAAAAAAAATGCTACTTTGACAAAAAATTAAGCTACCCCAAAATCCCCCTAAGTTTGGTTGTCTCTAGTTTATTGTTACTAAATATGCTAAACCATGATGTGAATTTCTCCCCCACATTAAATTTATTTTTCCCATTTCACAATTCATAACGCAAGCCATGACACAAAGAACTAAACAATTAATGTAATACATTTTCCAAGTAATAAACTAGTAGTATTTTATTCAGAATTAACTTGTAGATGCAAGTATTCAACTATCATTGACAAAAACATAATTTTAGTGGATATCATGATCATACATGCAATTTTGATAGCTTTTGGAAGGAAATATGTATAATTAGAAACTTTAATGCAAGATCTTGCATAATCCCATCCAATAATCTGAAACAACACCATTAAAAACGTACAAGAGTTGGAACTTCTCATGTATCACTCATTAGGAACGTGTATAGCCCGAATAGGGTTAGCCAAAGCAAGAGTAACCCCAAACTTATCACTCAGCTCTCATACCACCAACCAACTCCCACTTGAAATGGTACAACTAAGAAGCCAACATCATTTGAACCATCTTAAACGCCAACAGCAGCCTGGGGAAAATCATGTGCCCTACACTGAACGGTATGAGCTCGAAAACCAAGGGATACCAGTGCTTGGAGTCTAGAAACGGGATTGATGTTGAGATATGTCTCGTATCTGTTCAGCATTGAGTGAGCTTTTAAGCCCGGTGGGCCTTTGGGCCAAGTTAGTGCTAGAGTTTCTTGTCAGAGCACTATATAAGTCTCTCTTATGTGAGAGTGCCTTGGGATGAATTAGTATGACATGGCTGCTTGTAATGCTCTCTTTTGGATTTCTCCTACCGTTGCCTTGTGGATTTAGATCAAACTTGGTAGACCGAACCGTGTAAATCTCGTGTGCTCTTGTTGTTTGCTTGCTATCTTTCTATCTTGTGAGGTCATTGTTGGACCTCCTCTGGGTTGTAGGGATTGGAATCGGGGATCGTCTGTCCCTAACGATTAAACCCTACATACTTAGAGGCATTTTGAACAGCTGAAAAATGGTATATTTGCTGGTTTCAAGTCTTTTGACTATACAGAACAGAGGGAGGTTTGGAGGGAGGGAGGGAGGAAAGATTTTGCTTGGATCATACTGTCAGAACCTTTGCTTCCCATTTCTCTGCCAATAGTTGGAAATTCTCAAATTTAGAGAATGTTAAGACATATTGGTAAAGGAGATGGGAATCATGAGTTTCCTCAGGGTTGATATGGGAAAAAGTGATCTTATGGATGGCATCTTCAGATTTCTTCAGCCCAACTCTAGGTATACACTGATTTCACATAATCTAATCTTGATTCAGTCAGATATAAGTGTTACTTCAAGCGAGCTCATACGTTAATTCTCCTTAATGAAATTTGATGATAATTGATTTGATAGACATTGCTGTCATGACTATCTTAAGTTTGTTTAGGTTAAACTCAAAACTAATTTGCGTTTAGGTCTATCTGGAGTTATTGGAGCTTGACCAGGCTCTGGTTTGTTTGAGTAAAGGTATAACTTAAAATCATATGGTTTCAGCCAGGTTGATTGGGTATTAAATCTATAAAACAGTGATATATACCAATTGATATTTTCTTTGGCAAAAGTCCTATCGCCTGTTTATCTACATGAGGTCATGCCCTGATGCCAATTTGTGTGTCTCTAGTTATATCACACAGAGGCAAATGATAGATACATGATAGAGCAAACAATCAAGGACATTGTATTTATAAACATATGAAAACACTGAGGTTCATGTAAATTTATGGAGACTGCAGATTGTTTCTTTTATCTTGTCTCACTTGATTGATTGGATATTCGGATTGCAGGTGCAGGAACACAATCATCCTCATATACTGCTACTGCAAATTGGAAATACATTCTGTAAACTTCCGGGTGGACGTTTGAAGCCTGGAGAGAATGGTGGGATATTCTCCTATTAAGTCAAACTGCTTTACCTGTTTTTTTGTTAAAATTCTGATGTATCTTTTCAGATGTTGAGGGATTAAAACGGAAGCTTTCTAGTAAACTTGCTGCTAATTTACCTTCCCATCAGCAGAACTGGCAGGTACTTTATTCTTTTTATTGTACCTTTTAGTTGATCTGTGAAATTATTGGCAACTTATGATAATTGCTGAGATTTAAAGCACACAATCGAATCCTCTGGAAGTTTTCACTGACATCTAAAGCACTTGAAATCCTAGATGAGTTATCCTTATCCTTCTTCATTTATCCTGAAAATCCTTGCTCAACATGTCTCTAATCTTCCTTGAACTTCATGATCATCTTCTGAACACAATGCAGCTTTTCCAACATTATATTATGAGAGTTTCCAGTATGGTGGAGGGTCCATCAACTGTTTTTCCTTAATTAGGTTTTTCCATTCCAACATTGTTTAGGACCTCAGGTATTCCAATACTGTTTCCATGCAAGCGAATGGTCTATTCTTAATAAAGCATCCTTGGAAACATTAGTTGGAGAGTTATTTGCTCTAATTAGTCACATTATGTTTTTCTTTGATGAGAGAAGTTTAATCAAGTATTCTGAAGGTATATCTAATTTCCAGAGATTAATAGGGGGTGTCGTCTATTGTAAGTATATACCTAATTCTGTTAAAATTACATTCAGATTATCAATCATACATCTTAAACATGAACATAATCATGGTTTTCCTTCATGAGAGCTTTTTGTGTCCAGTTAAGTATCTCTTTTGTATATAGCATTACGAGAGCTGTCCAGTATAATGAATGGTCATTTCATGATTCATCTGTTAAGTTTCTTTCATATGGGCTATGGCCCATCATTATCTAAGAATTACAATACTGGGTGCTTCTTGCAGTGATAAGAACAATCCAGATGTGTCATAACCATAAAAAGAAAGCTAAAATACTAAGTGATAACAATAAAGATTGTGAAGAGTTACACCTCTATCTGAGCTGGGTGATCTCTAAGAGAATGTAGGAAATAAATCTATGAATTTTTTGAAAGCCAGATAATGGAACTTCTATCATTCTAGTGATGGTTCTATACTTCTATGGACAGCATTACTACATCCCTTCATTTTATTCATGCGATTGTAAAATAGTCTTAACTATTGTAATAATGTACCCATCAGGCTTACGCTAGACTGAGTCATGAGTCAAGATCCATATTACATGGATATACTGATTGAGAGGTCTCCTATGTGTCGTACCACTACATATGCTTAGATCTGTATTGGAATGGCTGTCTTTGTCCTTAGTAAGGTTTTGAATCTTAGAATTGGTCTCTGGTTCAATTCTCTTTTATTGGTATTAGGAGTTCTGGCAGTTTCTATAGTTTCATGAAATTACTGATGCATCAAAAAAGTCAACATTAGTTTAATCAGAATAAAAAACTTTCTATTTATCGATTTTCTTCTTTTTCATAATATCTCTGTGAAATCAACTTTTAGTAGTTTGAACCGCATTGCTCTTTGTTACATTGATACATCAGTCACTATCATCATTCTTTTAGCCATTACTAGCTAGTATTGACAGACCAGTTGGATTGAATCAACATGCTTAAAATCCGATACAATACGATAGTTTTGTAACCAAGGTTTTTAAGTATCGGATATTGGGGAAATTATCAGAGCCAGAATTCATATCGGATTGCGGATTTTGGGAAAATATCGAGGATATGTGGCAAATGTTGGAACACAATAATGAATGTCTGCATATATAATATAACGCACTAAAATGTAATCTCAACATACTTAATGAAATCTAAGCATACAAAATGTAAATAATATATGTTTAGGACTAAAATGTAATCTCAACATACTTAATGAAATCTAAGCATACAAAATGTAAATAATATATGTTTAGGATCACTAATCAACCTTCTTAATGAAATCTAAGCATACAAAATGTAAATAATATATGTTTAGGATCACTAATCAACCTTGTAAAATAAATAAAAATACAAATCAATGTTGCAACATTTCATCTCATTTTTTAGGCCAAAATGTCATTTGATATAATGGGAAAATCATGATATCTCTCCCAAAAATTGTCAAACATGATGTATTGTTTTGCGACAAGTCATATAAAAGGATACATCGGCCAACATATATCGGTCATATCGTGGATATATCGCCCAAAATAACCAAAAAAGGGTAAAAGATATTTAGAGAACGTATTGGTTGTGGTAAGCCCTGTAAAAGGATATATTGGGCGATACATCGGGCCATGTCGGGGATATTTAATTAAAACAATGTTTGTAACAATATTAACTTATTCTTCAACCCTATCATCTTTGGAGTATGCACATCTTTTTTCCCTCTTTTTCTTGGGGCAGGGGGATGAGGGGTTGCAGGGGGCGGGTTTGGGACTCTGCAAACGAGGAATAAAAAGAAAGAGAAATCATGGGGAAACTTACAAAAAAGAAAAATCATGAGGGAGCTCATGAAAAAGGAAAATAATGGGGGAACTCACTAACTTACCTAATAGTGCTCAAATCATACCAAACATGGCAGCACTGACAATTATAATTATTTATTATTTATTTGTTTTTTGAGGTATCCATGGCATAGCTGTTTTCCAAAAATTTAGGATTTCCTGTATCTTGTATCGGCGTGTATGCATCCATATCCTATATTTGTATGAGTGCAATTTAACCCTTGTCTGATTAGTTATGGGGTAATGTTGAATAACATGTTATATTCAATTATGTGATGACTGCCATAAAAAGAGGGAGTTCCAGAGGGCCTATATCTATTATATGCCATAAAAACAGTGATTTATCCTATCTTTATAACGAAAGTTGGATATTGATTCCAATAAAAGTATGAAGTAGAAAGCCTTTTAAGTTTCACCCCATATTTGTCCCTTTTTTAACTTTCATTCTTGTCTTCTTCTCTACCTTAAAAACCTAACTTTCCCCTTTTTACTAAATACAGAGGGGTTTTTTTACTGTGGGTGCGCACGCGTGTGTGGTACTAACTATTTGGCACATGAGATTTTGGGAGCCACTAGATTTTATGCACGTGTAATGCACGTGGTTAAATACTGTGATTAGGTATTTTTGGTTTATTTTCTTACTAAAATTTATTCATCGGTTACTCTTTGATAATAATTTTTACTCACTTTGATTAAGTATTTTTGGTTTATTTTCTACTAAAATTTGTTCCTCTATTACACTTTGATATTTATTTATTTGATGTTTGTTTGAATAGGCTACATCCAGTTTAAATTTTTATGTTGATAGTTGAATTGTCAGGAGATAAATATAATCTAAAACCAATTTAAATTTTTATTTCATTTGGATCGGAATAAAACCGAGCTTGACCTTAGAAAGTATAATATTATGAAAGTAAAAACACTTGAAAAAATAACATTATAAAAAGAAGATGAATAATAAAGCTAACGAGCCAAGATGATTGATTTAAAATGGGTTAAAATGACAGAAAATGGTTAATGAAAAAAATCATAAACCGAAGATTAATGTTAACTCTAGTACACTTATATGATAAAAACATCCACATGCATATGAAAGCACTAAAATAGTTTATGAAAATCCCTTCTAAAGATTCCTAATTTTACTAAAAAATAAAACTATTCTATAATAATTCACAAAACATTATCTTTTTGTTACTTCTATTTTATTTTTTATTGAGTCGAGATCAATCATTCTTCATCTTTACCTTTTTACTAGCCAATTCTAGAGTAGTAGTATCTTCATCGTCTACATCAATTTTGATATGAGACTGGAGCATGTTATCTTTTCTTGGGCTCATTCATCTTTTGTCTTCTCGTCTAAATTCACAAAGAAGTTGAATATATTTCTTATATTCAACACAAACTTCTGACAATACGAACTTTGATTTTTTCCTATTTCAATAAGAATAAATATTAATTTCATATATATAAAATTTTTATGCTTTTAATTTATTACTTAAATAAGGTTAGGAGCTATCTCTTTTTTCTCTGCAATGAATTCTTCTGTCGTACATCCAATAAGAATTTCTGCTGTGTCATAATGTTACATTTGCTTTGCATGTGTCATTTTCCATGAGGATCTGAACTAAATACATTAAAATTTTTATTGTCAATTTGCTTTAGATTATAATATTAATATTTAATTTTGACATATTTATTTCATGAAGGGATATCACTTAACCTTGGTACTAAATCATTAGCAATTCTACAATATTTATCATCTGGACACTTATTATTAACATCTTTATCCACTTTCTTATTGCAGCCTTTGCAAACATAGAATCACTGCTCAACTCTATTATAAATGGTAGTTTTTGTTGCCTTAAAGGTGCGATAGTGTGTCTGTATATTGGTAAATTATTCTTAGGTTTAATTATATGAATTTTAGAATAGGTTTTCTAAGATTATACATCTTTCAAATGTAATAATGGTTGTATATATTTGTAATTTGAATTTCTGTTGCATTTATAAAGAGCCTTAATGGAGATGCTTTTGTCTTGGCAGTTTACTCTAAAAGAGCGCTGCATATTAGCTTTAAAATATAATATTTTTTACGGTGTTATATGGATGTTTGCTTGGTTTACTTACTATTCTCTTATTTCTCCAGTAAGTTGTATCTTTGGATTGATATATATTATTGACGCAATTTACGATGATATGCATATCTCCTCTATAAATTTAAGACAGATATAAAGTGAATTTAATATTTAGTGGTCTTTAATAAGAATTTTACTAATAAAATATACTACTTCATACTTAGAGATCTTGAATTCTAATAGTGCTATTACATCATTATCTTTGATAGTCTCTTTAAGAATGATCCTTCGTTAGTAGTCATACTCCTAAATAAAGTCACACGCAGGGTCATGATACTATATAAGAAAAAGAAAAGGGCCGATTTTATAATTTTTGCTCACGCAAAGTATAGTAATTTTTCTTTTATCTTCTATGAAGAATGTTTCTTTGATGAGCACAAAGTTGTTCAATATATTCTTCATGGGGTATTCAGTTGGTGTTTTTTTGATAAATATAACTTATGTTAATGTTAATTGAAGTGATTCATAGACGTTCCGAATTCCATTTAAAATAAAAACCGCTTGATTCTTTTGAAGGATATCTCTAAAAATTTTAATAGTTCCCCATTCATAAATCTTTATAATTTTTTACCTAATAAATATTATTACCATTAGAGATCAATATTTATAAATTATATTCAATTAGTGTTAAGCTATTATATTATAGTCTTTTATCAGGTTTTTATGATTTAGTCTTCTATGAATTAATGATACTTATGTATTTTTGGTATTCTAACATATTGGTAAAATTATACGCAGTTACTTTAATTTATACAATAACATTAATTTTTAGTCTATCATATTTTTAAATTTTTTATTATTTAACTGGATATTTTTAATCTGTTATTATTACTATTTTTTACCAGTATCAACTTGACTATTTTCAGATTCTAAAAAGAGATAGTAAACCTTAAATTATAAATTATATTAATATATCTTAATAAAAAAATATCACAAAATTACTCTTTTCTTTGCCAAGTTCTAAATTTTTAGCTTTTTATTTTGTGTAATTTTAAACTTTTGAGAGTATTATGTCTAACTTTCAAAACTTTTTGCTTTTTTTTGTAATACTTCATGTAATAAACTGATAGTACGGAGATGTTTTATATATTTTATTAATCTTATTTAAATTATTGAGTTATAGATAGCTCATGGGGTTTTAGGACAGGATATAAGTATGATTAGTATATATTATAATTTAAATTAAATATTTAAAATAGTACAGTGTAATTTTGACTATGGAAAGATTTTCCTGAACTCGTGCTTTTAAAGGGAGTATGATGATTTTTTATTTTCCTTAATTTTTTTTATAATTTTGAGAATGACTTTTGTCTCTTTAATTTGTTTGGTCGATTTTGTAAATATCTCATCCACATTATGTACATTTGTTGGTCTACGTTGTTCTCGGGTTTGACCTTTGGGGTAGACATTATTTGTCTCATTAATTTATTATTTTTTGCATATACGCCCTTGATTTTGTAGACCTTTATAAATTTGGTATTTAATAATTTTATTTAGATTTATATTTCAATTTAAATTGTATCATTATCTTCATACTATGTATATCCAATAAGAACTCATCAATTTATCAACTTACTCTTACTTAATGGAATAATATTTGAATTTCAAGGTTCTTTTTGTCTACCAAAAGATTTTTTTCGAACTCGTGCTTTTAAAGGGAGTATGATTTAGGACACGGCCCATTAGAAATAAATCATATGGGTCCCTTTTTACTATGTAGTGGTGTCACTAAAGGATCATAAACTTATATACACTACCTAAATTTTTTGCTAGAGGGTGGTGTCACTTGACATCACCTTTTACTCCGCCCCTGAATGGGATAGATGTCTCCCATAGAATATCTAAAGACCTCATATAAAAGAATTAAACTTATATAATTTGTTTCAAGACTGTATGTAAGTAACATCAATCTTTCTTTATAACATTTTTTAGTGGTAGGTTGACATTTCAGTTTGCTGTGGAATTGTTTTTTAACATATGCCTGTGTGATACACGCTGAAAAAGAAACAATAACTGTCTTTATCATATTACATTCCATGTCTTGCAGATTGGAGACTGTGTTGCTGTCTGGTGGAGGCCTAATTTTGAAACCGTAATGTACCCATATTGTCCTCCACACATCACCAAACCAAAGGTATATTTTGCTTGAAGGTTGGAAAGTCTTCCAATTCTTTCGTAGTTTTTTTTGGCAAGTCCTTAAAAAGTTTTTTCTCTCTGTTGCACAGGAATGCAAGAAGATTTTCATTGTCCACCTTCCAGACCGGGAGTATTTTGCTGTACCAAAAAATTTGAAGTTGCTTGCTGTTCCATTATTTGAACTCTATGACAATGTCCAGGTACTGATATTATTTCTATTGTCTTTTGTATACATTTTTAATACATTTTCTTCTATTTGCTTCACATGGTCTTTATTAGTTTATCATAGCATGAAAAATTAAGTTCTTTTGTGCAACTCATGTTTATAATCAAGTGTTATTGACATTTGTCACTTTTAGACTTGGATTCGCTCATCTGTATGCTTGTTAACATGCACCTCCACAGAGAGGGAGCGAGAGATTTTTCTTAAGTAATAGCTAACGATAGATTGGTTAACTGCTCCTTCCTATTTTCTGTACTGACAAATTCTACTGTTGTATTTTATGAAATAAGAATCTGTTCAAGATCTATTGTCCATAGATGGGCTAACTACTCCTCCCTATGTCTACACTGGCAGAAAGTCTATGGTGGTATCATCTGAAATGAGAATCTATATCAGATCTTCATAGCTTTTCTATAAAAAATGGTTAGCAATTAAGAAGACAGTATCATCCGTAAATGGTTAGCAATTAAGAAGACAGCATCCTGGACATAGCTTTTCTATAAAAATAACAATCTAACACAAAAGCTTTCAGTATTAGGAAATTAATTAGTTTGATGGTTCAAGTAGATTTTGTGTCTTTGTGCACAAACCATGTGCATGATTTTCCAGTGTGAGTTCAAGTTATTGTGGCTAATGCAGATCTTTGTGAAACATTCATTTTGTGAGAACTTTTGTCATAGTAAGTAACACTAAAACATTTGATGTGTTTGATATGGAGTTCCATATGTTGTAAGTCTGAAGGAAACTACTTATTAAATATGTCTTAACTGAAGACTGTAATTCTGTGCATCAATACCATAATTGTTCCTCTTTGTTTTAGACTGTCTAGGAGTATTTTGGGATGTTGATCCGTGGTGCATGTGCCTCAACTATTTGATTGTTGAGTTATATTTAGCTAGTTTTTCTGTTTAATATATTTTCAGGTATTGGAGAATTTTTCTAAGTTTCTTTTTCAACTAATTGATATTTTCTATTCTCTCTCTGGTTATTTGAGCTAGTTACACCAAAAGTACATGTAAATAAACCTGAGACATACTGTATGCCTTTGGTGCAGAGATATGGTCCAGTTATTTCCACCATTCCCCAACAGTTATCAAGACTCCAATTCAAAATGGTCGATAATGCCTGAAGCTGGTGAAGCTAGAACGTATTTTGTGGTGTTACGATATCTGAACGGTTTCGGTTTGGAGCCATAGAGTATCCAGAGCATTTTATTAGAATGGAATTGTGAAAGAGTATTGGTATTATAGATTGGGGGGAAAAGCTACTAATTTTTAACGTTAGTACTCTTTGGTCACCTCTAACTAATTGGGAGTCAACTCCCGGAAAGCCTATAAACAAGCTGATCTCTTGGTCACCATCTCGAAAGTTAGAGACTTGAATCATAGATTAATTTTACTGCTACATTGGACCAATGAAGTATAGATTTTGGTTCGTGATGGAAAAGGTGGGCTTAAATGACTTGTATCTTGTCATGAATTTTAAGTATTGTAACTGTCTGTGGAGGATCATTACCGTAATGAAACTGTTAGATGCGTTTTGCAAATGTCTTGTTGTTCAGTTCGCTCATCTTCTTGCTGGTATGTCTTTGACAACTTAAATATTGCTAATTTGAACCAGACCTCTTGACATCTATAGAATCCTTGTTATTGCTTTCGGATCTCATTTTGTGGAATTCTTAGTACTTGATCTGTATGTATTATTTTGATGAAAGTGAAAGGCCTGAATTCTTGTCCCGACAGAAAAAGGTCATGAATCACATGAGCAAGTGATCGTTGCGTGTCATAATCAAGTAATACTCACATAGCTAAAAATACTTCTTATATTATTTTATTAGGGTGCCATTACTGTGCAAGGATGCTTGTTAGTTAAGTTAGTTCTTTGTTTTGGTTGTTGATAGGCTTTGAGGAATCTTTAGTCTAGTCCTGCTTTACAAGAATGATCTTATTAACAGGGGGGCTTAACAGGTTATGTGTGTTCATCAAACCCCCTCAGTTGTAGGTGGTGGATTAAGTTCCACCCAACTAGGCATCAGCTTATTGCTTAAAAAAGGGGGCTTTTTCCCACTCGATGTCAGTCCCTTAAATATTTCCCATTTTGAAATAGACCCTCGCGTCACAAAAATGGCTATAAGCTCCAATTCCTAAGTCATTTTGGATCTTGTCTCTCCAACCATTAGAATTGCTATTAGGTCCCTCAATTCTCATAAGTTTTTTTTTTAAATTAGTTCCCTCTAATTGCAACTCTGCGATCTTGACTGGAGGGGCTGAATTCAAAATAAGTTAAGGATTTTGGGGGCCTACTAGCAATTTCAATGATTTGAGGGAGTAATTATTAAGTATGAAGATTTAAGGGACTGATATTTGATGGAAAAAAAAACCTGAAACATGATTAACCCTGGACAATGTGCTTGATGATCGTTTTATTAGTTCCCAAAGTTTTTCAATGACCTCTTCGGAATAACATCTTGAACGATGTATTTTTCTTATCCCTAATATTCGGACCATCAATATTCCTAAAGGGGAGACTAACAGGAAAGCCATCTTATTCTCACCGGCCTCCTCAACCTCTAAGAATTTCTGATTGAGCCTGCTCTCAAGCAACAAAATTATTTTCATTAACTAGTATGTTTCTCGTTGTTAAATTAGGATTTTCTCTGTACCTCGCTTAAGCTGTTGGGTATGTTTAAGCATTCAAATTAGATAATGGCTCCTCGAGAGAGCAGTATTTGGCGATGAGAAAAGCCAGAGGCTTAGGACTGGTGTTTAGGCTCACACTTTCAAAAGGAATGTGACAGAAATTTTCTATAGATATCCATTTAATTCGTTCAAAAAAAAAAGATAAAAAACTTGACGCATTAGATTCTGCAAGAAGTTAAACGCCTACTGTGGTTATTATACCAGACTGTTGAATCTCTTATTAGAGACTCCAAACAAGATTAAGATGTCATTTTCAAGCGAGGCAGATAGCCTTTTTAATTAATGAAAGCTAATCTTTAAAATATCTTCTTACGTTCTAAATATTGATCCTGACTATCTTCATTCTATTTGACCCCTGTAAAAACTTGAGATTAAAATTGTAATCTACTTACCGAAACTGTACTTCAATTTTGCTAGAGCTTTCTCTGTCTTCTTTATTTGGGTCCTTTCAATAATTGTAATATTTTCCTTTTGCTCATCAGTAGCAGTTTTCCATACTGTCAGTTGTTTTGCTAGTCGTTATTATTATTATTATTCTTATCACTACAAGTATTTTGCTCTTATTGAGATGCATCTTCAGACTAGAATATCTCATAGATTTTGTAGCATAAGATATTTCCATTCCACTCCATTGTTCTTTAAATAAGTTCCTCCTGATTTTCCTTACTAAATTTTTAAACAGGTTTTGTATATTAGCTTAACTCTTCTTAATTTCACTTATTTTATGTTCGCTTAACTTCCCCTGGCAAATCCAAACGGGCCGTTAAACCTATAGAATATTTACTGTTGCATATAGTTTGCTGAGGTGTGCTTAAAAGGCTGGTATGATAACATAGATATAAACCAGTACGCGTCTAAGTCAAAAACAACACCGCTTGCATCAGTTCATTTACAGGAAGTAGATTTTTGTTTCAAGTGATAGCTTTTCCCCACTTTCTGTCATCAAGATCAGCTTCACTTGCTCTTGTTCTTCTATGCGTCTGCCTCCTTAGTGGATATAGTCTTCTTCCAAGTTCTCAAAATCTGTCATGCTTACAACACTAGAACGTGCTCTCTCTTAATTTGTATCTATTGTGGCTATAACAACTGTCTTCTCCCACAACTGCATACTATACTTCACACGTATAAAATGCGTAGACACTCTCTTCATGAGTGCCTCTATCCTTTAAAATTAAAAGCCGAGCAAAGATATGTACCGCTAACTAAGAAATCGCCATTTATGACTATAAAACTTCTACAAAGTACAAATATAAGCACAAAAAGATGAGTGAGTACAAGGGGGGAAAAAAGAAACAAAATCAATAAATTATTAAAGAAAAGCCTTGAACAATGAAAAACGTATGGACTTGTTAACAAAGTCTAATCAAGTAGAAAGCTCATCATGAAACTTCCCCCTACGAAGAGTTGGCGTATCCCGCATACTTGAACAAGGTATACACGTCACCTGAGAATATGCATGTGATAAAATATGTTGTAATGCATTATTTTCGTCGATCTAATTCTTCAATAGTTTGTTATATCAATGTAGGTTATTTCATATACGGACTCAAAACACATTGAGTTAAAAATAATGCTATCGAGTTCAGGGTTCGATTTCATTCGTAACACTTGGAGACAGGACTCCAGGAAGGATCTGTGAATGGTGTCACGTGGGTGGGGGCCACGCTCTAAACAAAGTTCGTGAACTTTGTTTCCGCGTGAAGAGAATGCCCACGAATTTGAAGGCCCACCCGATTTACTGCAGCTATATATATTTCTAGGGTTTTGTGCAAACGTGGGCTGAGCGAAGGAGGTTGTGATTTGGTTTTTTGCGGCTGTCTGCGTGGAGTGCAAGGCAGGAGCAAAAACAGGGGCGGTAAAATAGCAACGTTTGTGTACAGAGGAGCTGTCGACTTAGAGCGTGGTTTTTCGTGCAGTATTTTGTGTTGCTTTTGAGAGAGATTCTTTTGTGAGAGGTTTGAGAGATTGTGTGAGGGTTTAGATTGAGTGATTGTAAACCCTAGTTGTATCTCTCCCTCTAATAGTAGATCCCCCTCCTTGCCCCGTGGACGTAGGCAGTTTGCCGAACCACGTAAAATTGGTTTATTTGAGTTTGTGGCCATTGTAATAGCTTTTAGGATCCCTCGACGCGCAGTCCTAAAGCTGACGAGAGGAAGAGCTAATATCTCACTTTGATGAGATATTAGGCTTCAGATTCTTGTTTCCTTTGAGATACAAGAATTCTTATTGAGATCTTTCTCTCTTATTGTGCACCAGAAACTCTGCCGAAATTTTCGTTGCGCACAACAAGTGGTATCAGCTTATTGTGCACCAGAAACTCTGCCGAAATTTTCGTTGCGCACAACAAGTGGTATCAGAGCTCGGGCTACACTTGGGCTATTTGGAGGAGTAGATTAATTTGGAGGCTCGTCTAGGGCTTCATTTGGTGATAAAGGTGAGATTTTTTGGTAAAGACTCTATCTTTTCAATTTTGGATCTATTCTTCGTTCGTTGGTGCGTTGAGAAAGGATGTTGGGGAAAGAAGGTGCTTCGGGTGTCGAGGGTGGTGCTTCTGGCGCGAAGACCATTCAGAGTTTGAATATCCACTCTATGAAGATAGATGTGAAAAAATTTAATGGCACAAACAACTTTAGATTATGGAGATGCGAGGTTTTGGATGTGCTGAACGCGCAGAATTTGGAGGATACCTTGGAGTTAGATGGCAAACCAGATGAGATTGAAGAGAATGTTTGGAAGAAGATGAATCGAACGGCGTGTGGTGTGATTAGATCTTGTTTGACTCAAGATCTAAAATATGATGTGATGAATGAGACTTCTGCAAAGAAGATTTGGGAGATTCTCGAAAGCAAGTATTTGACAAAGAGTGTTGAGAACCGCTTGCATTTGAAGAGGAGGCTTTATCGTTTCCAATTGAAGAAGGGAACCTCCATTAGAGATCACATGAACCACTACACTAAGCTTCTTGCGGATTTGGCGAATGTGGATGTCGTGATTGAAGATGAGGACAAGGCGTTGCTGTTGTTGAGTTCCTTGCCCGACGAGGAATATGAGACATTCGTTCTTACTCTGATTAATGGGAAGGCATCACTTTCGTATAGTGAGGTCACTGCTGTACTTGTGAATTATCAGCTTCGAAAGAAGGATAAGGAGGCTTCAGTTGAGCCGGTAGCAGAGGCGTTGGTCGCAAGAGGGAAGAATCCGAACCGAAAGAATTGGAAGTCACAGTCTAGAGTAGGGCATCCTACAATTGGAAAAGATCAGTGTGCTTGGTGCGAAGAGACTGGTCATTGGAAGAAAGACTGTCCAAAGCTCGACGAATGGATGAAGAATAAGCAGAAGGGAAAAGGAAAGCAACCATCATCAGAAGCAAACATCGTATCAGATGGTAATAATTCTGACTCTTCTATTTATTCGCTTTCTATCAATCCGAAAGATAGCTATTCGGAGGAACCCGAGTGGATGTTGGATAGTGGTGCGACCTATCATGTGTGTCCTAGAAGGGAATGGTTCTCCAATTTTGAGAAACTGGATAGTGGTGTGGTATACATGGCTGATAACCGTGCATGCCAGATCCTTGGGATAGGAAGAATTCGCATAAAGATGTTTGACGGGACTGTTAGAGAGTTAAACGATGTGAGATATGTTCCTTCTTTGAGGAAGAACTTGATCTCGATTGGAGCTTTAGTTGGAGAGGGTCTAAAGGTTCGTGTTGAGGACATGGTTCTCGAGATTGCGAGAGACTCTCGTATTTTGATGAAGGGCGTCAGGAGGAATAACCTGTATTACTTGACTGGATGTATAGTGGCAGGTGGAGAACTGACGACTTCTATTGATTCGACTAGACTGCGGCATTTGGGGCTT